TATGGGTAAATAGCAGGACACACCGCGTTCTATAGCCGTGGATGGTAACTAGTCTACCGCAGAAAGAAAAGGCAACCTACTGTGGGGAAAGAAAATCTGCCTCGTCAGTCATGTATCAAAAGATACATGATTGCCTAAGTGTGTATCACACATGGCACATAACTAACTGACATGTTTCTGATATAATCCTATTGTTTTCTCTAAAACATTTATATAAATAATATGATGGTCTTGTTTAATGCTTTGCTAGGTTTGTTTGGAATGAGTCTGGTTCTCACTGGGTGTCCTAAACGTGTAGTTTTATACTAAGCTAAGTTTAATAATTATCAATAGCTAAGCTATTACCACTTTCAACAATTTTATATTGTATTTCCAGATAAGTCTGCATGAGTGAATAATGAAGGTTGTATCTCTTTTACCAGCAAAAGAAATTTAAGTTCCACACAACAGGCTACCAATAATCATTTAATGTAATGAAGTGTGTTAATCATTGTATTTTTGCAAGAGTAAACAAAAGAAAGCATTTACTTACCAAAGAATTACCTCAAAAGTTCACCTTAAATTGGTTCTTATTTTTGTAATTGCGAGACAAAGAATTATTGAATATTATCATGTTACATATGTTTATTTCACTTGTTTTCCTCTTTATTAACATCAGTTTGTAACAGATAATATTTATTTAATAATTTCCATATTAAACTTTTAGTATAATTTAGAATAAAACAATACAAGAAAAGAGATTAAGAAGCCTACTTGATAGCTAAGGTATTAACATTTAAAATGATTGGGTTTCTGGTTCCTTCAACTCTACATCTGATGTCTCTGCCTTAAAACTGAAATTTTATTCAGTAATTTTTTTTTCCTCTCCCGATAGGAGTAGATATGTTTGCCTATTATCTGATTCACACTCCTCTCCAGTCTTTTCAACAGGAGCAGAGATTCCAGCCTCTTCTAAAGTTCACTTCAACTCTATAATTCTAATGTCTCCACCTAAACTCTGAAATTTTTATTCACTAATTAAATCTTGACCTCTTCAAGTCTAAAATCTTTCCTGTGATCTTGCTCTTTCTTACACTAATACAACTCCACACAGTAATCCTCTACCTTGAGTGGCCCTTGGAACATTAATTTAAAAAAAAAAACAATTTCAAGAGTTGATTTTCAAACCAAGCAGACTTATCTTCATTTGGAAGATAAGTGCAACAATTTTCATAGCCTTGTGCCAGATTTATTAACAGTAATTAAAACACATTTTAGATTGGTTTTCTGTTAATCATATCAAGCAAAAAAGTAGTACATAATTTACATTTATAAGTAATATATGTTCAGCACTAACTACAAGGATAAGTGAATGTGGTACAATGGAACATAGTAAAATGGACGGTAAATGATTTTATCTCTTTCTGACTATCTTGACAGTAATGTCTAGATAAGAGATCTTCAAAGCAACCATTCACTCTCCATAAATAAAGAAAAAGGAAGTAGAATAAATAAATCAAAATTTTAAGAATCAAGTGGAAATTGGTTAGAAAGTAGAGAATTCCGGCCATGTGTTTATATAGGCAGTTATAGAGTAAGTTAGTTATGAGCTGTAGAGAATCAGTCACAGAGGCAAGTGAAAAGAGTAGCAGTCACTGTTGAGATGTACAGAAGACCAGGCATTGTGATAAAGAGATGTAGACACAGTTGGAGTTTTTTAATGGCTGAAGGAAAAATCTGATCTGTTATTCTATCCTGAAAGAAGATGTCCTATATGTCATCTAACGACACCTAGACTATACCAAGCTGTATGAGGAACCAGGCTGTATGTTCACATGGTTAAAAATTCTAAAAGTAGCAAAGTATGAGTAACATTAATAACATTCATTCATTCATTAGGCAAAGTTAAATTTGGTTTGGTTTGCCTAATGACATATTAACTAATATGAGTCATATAATGCCAAAATTTAATTTTCTTGGGAGCCTACGCAATTTTTTTAAGAAAATTTACTGCTGGTAATTTTTCTCTTCCTTTTCCAATAATGTATTGATGATAAATTTTTTTTACTATGAAAATGTATTGCTTGTGTTCTTACTACAGAAATATATTTTTATACTTTCATAATGTTTTGGTCCCAGTTTGGGTGTTCACTATTTGCTTATAGCTGGGACCCTAACACCTCGGATCAGGCTGGACCTGTAAACAACAGCAATTAAGCGGTGGTTCCATGCTCCTCAAAATCTCTGGATCAGAGACCTTGTTGACAGATGTTTATTGTTGTACCAAGGACGAGACTGTTAGGTAGTTAACACTTATCATGATGAGTAACAGGCATTCTTGTTTGTGCAGTAAGTTCAGTTTTTATTGTTTTTCTTACTAACATGGCTTTGCAACAGATTTAGCTAAGTTTAGATAACCACAACCTTGGGTGTCTTGACATTGATTAGTATTTAGAAAGCTAATATTGCAAACTGTTGCTGTGGAGAGTTGTGCCAGAGAGACTTGGTATTATTTTTTGGAAACAGGACATAAATTGAACTGACTCAAGGGTAAAAAATAAATAATACATATTTGATTTAGATTGGAGTGAATCTTTTGATATTTGTTGTAGCAAAAATTTGTTTATGTCATATCGTGGTAGCAGTCAAGAGAAAGTCTGTTTCAGCTTGGTAAGTAACAGTATAGAAGTCAGACCTTGGTAGAAGTTTTCATCTTAGAAATAGATATGATGTCAATCTACTGTCCTTTCTAGACTTTAAGAAGAGCAGAAAAAATGACTTAAGCAGATGACTGATTAACTTCTTCATACAACATGCATGGCTGGTTTATCTGGCAGCCCCTTCTTCTGCCTCTTGACTCAGTTTATATCCTTTTTAACTGTGACACATATCCTTTTTGACTGACACTATAAAGAGTCACTGGTAGTAGTTGAAAGGAATGTGACATTGGTAGTAGTGAAATAGGATTAAAAGGGTTCATGTGAAAACCTTATACAGAATTGGAAGTATTGAAAACATTAAACAAGGATAATGTTAAGGTGGAAAACTGGAATTGAAATAGGAAGCAAAGGAAAAATACAGATAAACTGATAAACGGAATTACAAATAAGAATTGTTATGAGTCCCTGAAAAGGGTGGAATGTAAAACAGTAGAAAAATTCTTTGCTGATTTGAAATAAATCATTTTGTTTTGATGAAAACAGCTGATTATCACAAGGAATATTTAGATCATATTGGTAAATTGACAAAGAAATTGCCGATTTAAAATAAATAATTTTGTTTTGAAAAGTTAACTGTTTGGTATTTGAAGGTCATAGTTGGCTAGGGAGTGAATTTTGGTAAAGCCAACAATGTAAGCAATAGGATGTCGAATCAGTCATTTTGGAAATCAGCAAAGAAATTGCCAATATGAAATAAATTTTTAAACAAAAATTTATTAACAAAAACAATAATTGTTTTGAAATACCAGACCGCTTTATTTAGGGCCGATGTCATGTCTCCAGGGTTGGAGAGAATAATTAATTTATGAGTACGTAATGAGCTTTAAGGAGTGGTGAGAGTTAGGGGAGATGCATATAAGCTGAATGCTGAGTTGAAGTGAAGAGGTTGCTGTTGGAGAAGGCAGAGACAAATCAACAGCGAACAAGGGAGCTGTTGAACCTCACGTGACCTGCTACCAAGGATATCAACCTAACATCTTATGTAAATGTTTAACCCACTCCAAATTTTAGAAGCAAAAGATACTGTGTCACGATAGAATGGGAAGTGTTAATTTTGTTGTATCAATGATTATATAAACCAATTGAAAATTAACCCAGCGTCCTTCATTATTTGTTCATCAGTGGAAACATTCTTGTCCTTTTTCATAACACAGTTCTACCAACTTGATTCAGCAGTTAAAGTATGGATGAAAATTTGATCACTACACTGTGATCACAGAACTCAATATGGACAAAGATGAAGAAATGAAGCAATCAACAGATAACCATCAGTTGACCGGCATCAGTGCTGACCAGTGTGGGAACAGCTCAGGATTGAGCTGGGCCGACCATGTTATAGACAAGGATCCCAGATTACTGGTGCAAAGCTTGGTTTCAGCTAGCATCAAAAGTCTCTTTGTGTTAATATCTTTGATTACCAAAATGATTTTATTTTTTGGGGTTCCTTTCTTTTCAATTTTTTTAGATGCATAGAGCCTCTCTTATTTTGGTGGATTTCTAGTCAAATATGGCTAGACTCTGGCCCAGAAAACTCTGTTGATTTTTGGCTGGGTTCAGCCTTTTTCTTCTTCCCCTTTTTATTTGAGGGTTGCCTTCTCATTAACTGGATGAGAAGTATAGAGAGAAAAAGAGAGAAAAAGAAATATGGGTTTTAATGAAAAATTTTAAATGCCTTATCTTCAACTTTTTTTTGTTTATATATAATTTTTTTATCAGGACTAGCTACATTGCTACTATTGTGAGTTTGATTCTCACTGATTGCTCTATTTAAGAAAGGATATTTATTTGGTAGCCCATGACCGAAAATCGGTTTAATGTACTTTCAAGATAACTCGTGTGGTGTATAGCGAGTAACAACAAAAACAACCCAGTTTCTGACCCCAACCCCGTTAGTGCAATGGAGAAGTGCTGCCACGTGACGTATCGTTAGGAGTTACCGTAGAAACTCTCAAATGAAAGAGAAGCTAAGTTTTATATCTCTCATAGGAACCGTAACCTCGTATTTTTAACACAATTGTTAAATTTCTGCGAAAACTTAACAATAAATTTCTGTTGAATCAATAAATGTAATTTACGAGAAAATAAATAAAATTTCTTCATTTCTTGCATTGCTCTAAAAAAAGAACGCACACATTTTTTTAATTTAAGAACTTAACTCACACTTCATTAAAAATGAACAATAAAACTATTTAAATTTTAAAAGAAAAATAATGAGATTTCAAATTTAAAAGTTCCATTTTAATTTACAATAGTTTTTCTCGCCACATTTTCGTAAGAAAATAAAAATAGCGGCTATTTGAAATGGCGGCCGTTCCCAGCATGACACATATGTTGCGTTTTAATGGTTGTGAATCCCTGAATAAAGTTTCTCTTTTGGTAAGAAGAATTATTTAGTAATATTTTTTTATTATTTGATAAAACCGAAAATGCTCGTTTCGAAATTTTGATGCTAACAGGCAGGTGATATTTTGATTTGATTTTTAAATGTATATTTTTTTTTTAGGAAACGGTTATTTTTTAGTTTCTTAAATGAAAGTTTTTTACGTAGACTTTTTTCTAAATTTGTTCCTCTCTATCATATATATATATATATATATATAAGGGATTGTAGTCACTTGAATTGAGTCTGTTTATATTTTTTACTTTTACTATTGTTATCCGATGAAGACGATTACATCCAGTATTTTCCTTATTCTTTTGAATCTATGTAAATATTTTAACAATCAATTCCTTCTGACGTTAATTCAACACAAATTTAGATTATTCTTTTAACCACATTTATACTTTTTCAAATTAGTTAAAACTTAAAAGTAACTTAAATTTTTACTTTTGCATCATTGATTATTTTGAAGATTTTAAAAAGATGTTGAGTCAAATATTTGTTTATAAAAAAATGTTTTTTAATCAATTTCCTATTGTTAACTTTTGGTTTGTAGATGAAACAATTTAGACAGGCCTTAGGTTAGGGTCAATTTCTGATAATCATTATCTTATTCTGACATTATTATTTATTTTAATGGAAAGAAGATAATACTTATCTGGATTCTAACTTATGATTTTATTTTCTTTTTTATCAGAGAATAAACAATCTACCAATATTTAGAACAGGTTTCATGGATTATTCAGCGATAGTTTCTCTTCTCTTATATATTTTTTTTAACAAATATAAATTTCATGCTTATAAATTGAAATTAATGAATCTCCAATTCAAAATCCCATATGAAACATGAAACTTAAGTTCCTAAATAAAGAACTGAATTGTGATTATTTAGTGCTATAGATGTTTTTTTTAGTTTGTTAACCTATTTATTTACCATCCATAAATAAAAAAAAATTAAAAAAACTAAGAGGTATGTAACAAAGGTTATAAAAGTTTGCAAATAAAAGCTTCTCAAACATAATAAAAATATTATTTTTTGAGAGCAAGATAACTGTCCTGTTTTATTTAAATAACTTATTGTTTCAATCCATCTTAAATTTCAATTTTGAAAAATTACTAGAGATTGATAACTTTTTTTGCATTTCCTTTTTATTGTTTTGTTTCAATTTTTCTTAATTATAATGCTTATCCATTTATTTTTTAAGCTTTACAGCAAAAACTTTTTCTTTTTCATTAGAAACTACACATATTGTATTTATTTATGATTGATACATTTTTGTAAAATTATCACGTTTGATGGCATAAAGAGCCTTCCCCCATTGTGGCAGAAAATATTTTTTAAAAATTGTTGGACATCAAATGTCATTAAAATTTCACTATGTTCTCTATCCTTAAAATATATCTAAAATTGAAACTTATTTATTTTTTATATATATAATATAGATATTTGGAGTTAACAGTATAAATAAAAAGAAACTATCTCAGACTATCACCAAACTCTCAACCAATTTTGATGTGAAAATGTAAGTACTGTTTTTATTTTCTTTTTCAAATTTTAACTGTGTAGTCTAGTTCAATTATATTTTCATTCATTCTGGTTTATAAGTGATAAAAAAATATACTTAATGTTATAGTTTTTATATAATGACATGTTCACAGGGATTACACAGACAGAAAGGATGTGATTTTGCAATGTTTCATAGATTAACTGCTTTATATGTTTAATGATTCCAAGAGATTTTTCTTTTTCGTTGGGAGGACAGTTGATCTTATTTTATATGCTGTACTCACAATATTTTAACTGATCTATTATTTGGCCTTTTTCTTCAGGTGTACCATATGTGTAGAAAAAGAGGGTCTCATTTTTTCATAATTTATTCTAGTTTTAAGACTGCATAATAGTAGAAATTATTTCAACATGGTATGTTCCCAGTTTCTCTCATTATTAAACAAAGAATCTCATGCTGTGTCTCTGTTGAGCTATGTTACACTAAACATTTTAATTTTCTGGCAGTATTTCAATTGTTATACGCAACAGTCTTCCTTTGCTGCTAACAGTCTTGGAATTGTGAACTGGATCCTATTTAATCCACTGTGGTAGACAGTTTGTATCCAGCTAGGAGAGATAACTCTTATCGATTCTTTTACATAGTGTTACTTCTGTGCAAAAATTTCACAAACCAGTTGTCTTATAGGATAGTAACCTAGTGGATTTAAGTGTATATTGTTTACCTTGTGATTGTAAGTAAATATTTCAATCCTTGGCTCAGGCAGTGAAATCTATATACTTTGGTTTAATGGAACTAGCAAAAATGACTAAAATATTATGGTTGTAAAGAATAAGAATCATAGATACATCAGGTATAGATAAAAAAAAATGAAAGAAATAACAGGACAAAAGATGTGTTCCTAAACAGGATTCATAAAATTGAAAGCAATAATGTTTCAAAGACAACAAATACATTGAAGAACTCTTCTGATGAAAGAGAGAAACTTGCAATATGCAAAAACATGGAAGGACCTGAAATATTAAAATCTGGCCTAAGATTGGTAATGGCTAAGATGAAAAATAAAAAAAAGCATCATCACCAGATGAAATTGTAATAGAGATGCTATCAGCCTTTGTTGATTTTAAGATCAACAAGATTACAGAAATAATAAATGAAATATACAACAGTGGCAACATACTGGAAGACTTTAGTAGATCCATCTTCATAAGACTAACTAAAAGGACCAATGCAAATGAATGCAAGCTCTATTGGATAATCAGTTTAATGAGCTATACAACTAAGCTTATCTGGATTCTGATAAATAGAGTGCATAGTAAAATTAAACTAGAAATACAGCAAGAACAGTGTGGCTTTGTTAAAAAGAATGGAACAAGAAATGTGATCTCCATAATCAGAAGATTATCAAAGTGAGCAATACAAATGCAGAACAATGTATACCTATACTTCATAATCTATGCAAAAGCATTTGATTAAGTACATGAGGATCTATTTGAACTGTTAAGAAAACTTGATTTATTTTGGAAAGATATTAAAACAATCCACAATATTTTCTAGGAACAAACTGCCTGCATGCAGATAGAAAATGAATTGAGCAAGTACACAAAAATAGAAGGATGTATAAGATAAGGATGCATCTTTGCACTGGATTTATTTAACCTCTACAATGAGATAATCTTAAAAGAACCAGAAGTCCTACCAGGATTTATTTATTTTTTTCTCACAACCTTAACAACATTAAATATGCAGATGACACTGTATTGATGGCATACATAGAAAAAAAAAACTGTACTAAAGGATAATGAAAAAAATGGACTCTGGTAAAAAGATACAATGTATGTTCATTAACAAGAGGAATGATCCAGGATGTGAGCTACAAAAAGTAACATCAAAATAAAGAAAAAACAAATTTAATTATCTGGGAAGTGTTTTAACAGATGATGGAAAATGTGACAGAGAAATCTGAAGGTGCATTGGATTAGCAAAAGAAACTAAACAAAATATTAAGAAACAAGAAAATTTCATTGGAAACAAAGCAGTGAATATTGAACAATTTCTTCACAAATGAAAACTTAAGGCAATTGAGATTTGGTATTGCTGAATGCTGAAAATACCATGGACAGAACATGTATGTGAGTAATGAGAAAGTTTTAGGGAAAATAGGGAGAAAAAAGACACTTTTGCAAATGATCAAAAAGGGACAGTTGAAATTTTCAGAACGCATAATAAGGAAAAAGGACTTGGAGAATTTGGTATTGACAGGACATATTGAAGACAAGAGGTGCATAATGAGTAACATAGCTAAGAACTTGTATAAATGGATGGTAGAACATATACTGGGAGTGATAGCAAAGAGAAAAACATTGCTTAAAGTTAGAAAAGATAGGAAGTTGTGAAATTTAAAAATTTGTGGCATATCATTGATTTATTAAAATAGAAAATCTTAGAAATGTACTTTCTTGCTAAATTAAATCAGTGGTAAATAATTTCTTCCTGCATTTCAGTTATCATAATTTACATGTGGACTATTGTGGCCTTTTGCTTGTTCAGATTATTTTGAACTTTATCTAATCTATGTAGGTATCATTCCCATTATGTTGACTAATTTCTTGTTTATTATTTTTATGCAGTTATTCCTTGTCCCATTTCTACCGAATTTGAATATGCGCTGCCTGGCCCAGGGATTGTATTCACCAAATTCATGAATCAATGCTTTAATCCACTAGGCTATTGTTCTGTATTGTATAACTTGGAGCCTTAAACCTAATCTATCTTGCTGCTGCTTTTTATGCTTGTCTGCACTCACTGAGGCTGCTGTTGAGACAGTTGCAGTAGAAAAGAGAAATAAAGTTCAAAATTCCTTGAAGATTACTTGAATCAGCAAGTAACTGATGAAGGCTAGACAACGCAGTGGCTGAAACATTGTGATAATGACAACAAAAATGAAGTCAGTAGTCCACATGTAAATAATGGTAAATATTTTATAATTTCACTTGAATGTCCAAAACATGAATGTAAGAAATGGCAATTTGAAAGACAATATCACTCCAGAATTTTTTTTATTAAAAAAGTAGTGAAAAATGAAAAATTGGTTGCTATTCTGAATATTTTTATAGATAAAAAAAAATGGGGAAATCAAAATAATTTTGCTACTGAATATTTTCTCTTTCTTCAGTCAAATTTCAGATTACCTGTTTCCTGAAAAAGACAAAAATCCTTTTCAATTCAATGTTGATTATATTTGTTTTGTTGCTGATATTTCACAAAAAGAAAGGTTAGTTTTCTTTTGTTTGTTTTTTTTCATTTTCAGCTTGTAATGTGTAGAACTGCATGTTATTAAAACATATTGTAACTTTTTGCTAAAAAATCTTTTCTCCCAATCAAGTTCTAATTTGAATGTATCTTTATAATTTACTTAGCTTTTTTGTACACCTGAAATTTAAAGAAATATCTGGAGCTGGTTTTAACTTTCTGTTGTATATTTGTGAATATATAATCTTGTATTTGGTATTACTTGCAATCTTCTGTAAGTTGCATCTATCCTCTAAATTGAAGTCATATGCTGTTGGTTGTATAGGATAATTGTTAATCTTGGTTAACACACTCTACAATTGGAATCTAATAATTTACACCCTTTAGTTTGTGGTTTAAATAAAGTGAACAAGAATGAAGAATTACAGATAGAATTACTAATTCCCATGATAGAAGTGAGCTAGAGGGAAAACGATATCTGAGCTGTATGGTTTAACTCCTTTTAAGAAATTCTCGGTCACACTTAAGATGTCTCTTTATCTTCTTCCTTTCACTACTGTTACTTTTTCTTTTTAACTCTGACAATCGCAACGCTTGTTCCTGCAAAAATCAAAATCAGTACAACAAAAAAGCCACTGAATCCCTCCTTATATGGACATTTATTACCCACAATGCTTTAGTCTTTGTCTATAAAAACTCTTCTCATTTACTCAGTTTCTCCAATGAAAACAATGTGACATTGTGGTTGCTGTTATATGAAAGAATTTGAATAAATGTGATGCTATAGTGAAAGAATAGTTGGGTCAGTGAATGCAACTAGCTAAGTTAATGACCAGCATCTCTTCCCTCTAAATATTGGCCTCATGCCATATTCTTTATATTCATTCAATTAATTTTGAATGTATTAATGTAAGTAACACCTTCCTCTATTCATTTATTCAAACCATACTTCCGTTTAGTATTTGCTATATACAGCAGTTTCTTTTATCACAATGGCTTTGCTGTGAATTCTCACATTTCTTAGAAATAAACTCAGATTAATATTACCATTACACAAAAAAAAATATGACAGGGAGTTTATTCAAGAAAAAAATTGAAAAATATTATTTACTAAAAGAAAAGGATTAGAGATTTAAAAGGAAACTTTAATTTTTCATATTTAGCATGTATTTTGAGAGCCATTTCAACATGCTTTAAGCTATCTTGGTGATCTTTATCTGCAAATAAGTTGCAATGTTGACAATATACATTAAGAAAGATACAGAAATCAAATAATTATAATAGAAAAGACAGCAAGAATGTCATGTCATGGTACAAATGCTCTAATATTAAGAATGAATCAGTTTCCAAGTAATTTTTAATTAAGTATAAATTGACAAGTAATTTCCCTTATTAAGAAAATTACAAGAATAAGCAAGGAAGAACCCTTGGCTTGTCTGAACTGTCCACCATCAGTCATAGTGGCCAAACAGTAATGATAATTTCATATTTAAGCTTAGTGAGAATTAGCATTTGCAAATAATTAAATATCAATTCTTTAAATAGGAAATGATGGTGGCAGAGGCCACTGTTATGGCTGCAAATGATTGATTATTTTCCATTTTGTATCTACAATTTTATTGTCATATAACGAGGGAAAGCAAATTCTACATGGAAAGATACTTATGTTTTTGGTACTACTGAGGTTGACTGGTCTACTTGTAAAAAAAAAAAAAATAGGGAAAATTTTAGAGGGTGTAATAATTGACACCATTTGTCAGAATAAAAACATTGATTTTTATTTCTTCATTTTAGAAGAAGGATCCTGTTTGTAATATAAATACAGTGTTAAATCAGTCCCCGACCTTTTAAAAAAGTTATCTATACTTAGTTTTTATTTACAAATGCCAAGTTTAAAATTAGGGACTTACCCTTGAAAAAGAGTAAAAAAAGAAAAAAAAAGAAAAAAGTGCTTCTTTCCTAAAAGCACCAGTGTGAAATAAAGTGTTAGATAAGTGCAATGAAGTTAAAACTGTTTTGTGAATATTATTTCCTAATCTGAAACATTATAATTTATAGCTAGTTTACTCATGCTGCAAAATAATTACAGTATATATAATTTTTTCTGATGAGTATTGTTCTTTCATGACTGGAGTTGGTCTTTTTACCTCCTATGTAAGCATTTGAAACGGGTTTCTCTTGAGTTATCTCCCTTGTACTGGCGTCACCAGTGCAAGAAGGATAACTTCAACAAAATATTACGAGCAAAAAGTACAGATTGACTACCGAGGGATTGTAACTATAATTAAATTATTATAAATTTGTATTTTCATTATTCATTGCTACATAGCAAATATTTCCTGTTTATTTTGAATTTTTAATTATATTAATTCCCAACTTTTGTTCCAAAAATACTTAATGATCACAGATAGGCCTTATCCATAATTTATAAACTTCAGTGTAGAAAAAAATAAATAAAATGATATGAAAATTAGTCTCTATTAAGCAGCAGTCTACGGTAAAATTATCACAATAGTTTTTTTACAAAAGACTATCAAAAGCAAAATAAAATTGACCATGTGTAAAGATAATGTTTTAAATATTTTTAGTGTTTTAATCTAAATTTTGACCTGGTTACTTGTTTCAGTTATTTTTATTTTATTTTATTTTTTTGACTTTGCATTTTTCTAACAAAAAATGAGTCATCTTTTCCAAAATAAAATTTCACAAATAATTTAATCATGAGGACTGCTATATCTGTATTTCATATTTTTATTGAAATAATAGGCATGTTTAAAAAAACATCCCTCAGAGAATGAAAAAATGATTCTTTAAAATATTCTTCCCAGAAAAAGAAGTCAGATTCTATAAACACTGTCAACAAAAGAACATATAATTATAGTAAATTTTAAATGTCAATCTGCATAATATGGAGGTGTGCTAAAAAGTTCTTGACCTGACCAAGAAAGGGTATAAAAAATTGATATTTGGTCGCTGTCTGGAAATTGGGTCAAGCTGAGAGCTTTTCAGCAGCCCCTTGAATAAGATTTTGTTTTACTTGAATTTTTATTCTATTTTCTTGTTTGACTTTTCAGCTTGAAGAGAGTTACAGATTCTATGAAATTTATTGATGCAAAATACTTTCTTAGCAGAGCATGTTTGGTTGTTCACATACCAAGTAAGGTTTTGTACTTATTGAAATTTTCTTTTTGAAATGTTAACCTGCATTATGAATTTTGTTCCTCTCTATTTAATTATGATAACTTGATCAATAAAAAAAGTTTGTTTTTGTTGTTCATACAAGATATACACAATTAAAGTAACTTTGTCAACTAGTAAAAATGTTTCATTCTTAGTCCTTGTACTCAGTTGACAAGCAGAACTGCAAATTAAATTTCATGGATGTTTTGAATGTCTAAAAACTCTGCCCCTGATATAACCTGATATAATATTAATAACAATATTTTGACTAATCATCATCAAATATAAACTCCTATATCAGATATTTTTCATTTAGATGTTGGGGTTGGAGTTTCTCAGTTTAATTTGCACTGATTTTTTTTTTTTTTTTGAGATCACTCTTTATCATTTGTTTTTCTTATAGAAATTGTTCATGTTAAATCATGTCTGAGCTTTTCATCATAGCAATATAACTTTTCATTTAACAGATGGATGTCGGGAAAATTTTTCAATTGAACTAGAATCAATTAATCATTTAGCCAAGAATTATAATTTGATGACAATTTTTGGCAATCTTGAGGTATGTATTAACATAATTGTTTTTTATATACTGAACTTTTTCCTAAAATTAAAATATTCATTTTTAAAAATATCTAATATCTAAATTAAAATTTGAAGTTTTATGACTGAATATTAGCTTTTTGATATCAAAAATGAAAACATACTACAGCTGTTACGCAAGTTTTCTGTAACTTAACAAAAATAACTAATGTGACAGATTTTTTTCCTATGTCAAAATTAATTTATTTTTTATTATAATTTCTACACAAATTGCTTTCATACAGATTAGAAAAATTTTCATCATTCTGAAAAATGAATTTTTAAAATTTATCATGATATAAAATTGAATTAGTTTACTTATTTTGTAACATGCAATGTAAAAGGTAAATTTCTATTTTTGTTTTCACCAGAAAGGAGCTGATAAAGTTTCCACACAACTTCTCAGATTGGTTGAGATAGCATGTGGCTTTAAAAAAAATGGAAAAAATTCACTTCTTTTATCACTTGTATAGACATATTTATGTGAATAAATTAATGGTAAATAATATTTTCTCTTGTATTTTTAGTTCAATATTTTTTAAGGAATTATAATATTTATTATGAATTTCTGTAGTAGAACTGTTTTTTTCGCTCTTAGGTGAATAGAAATTGTTCACTTATTTTTTTATTTGAACATTGAAGCCTTTTGAGAAAGAATATTTTACTTCCAAATATGCTCTATTGCTCAAAGTTTTCCTTTGATTTAATTTAGTATATTCTAAGTATACAAGGCGTGCCTGACCCACTTTCTGACAAAACTATATTTTTAAGGTTTTCTTAATTGGACTGAGAGTGTTTCAGAACCCTTTTGAATTATGGCAAGTTTTACTGAACATCTCCAGTTGTAAATTTCCATTTATGGTTCTTTGAAGCATTTTTAAACTTCTGAAAGCAATTTTTTTTTTTTTTTTTTTTTTTGAAAAAAAAAAATAGAAGCAAATTTATTTCTTACTAGCAGCATGGTCCGGCATTGACCGTGCTTGATTCAAAAATCGTACGACTCGTACAGCAATTGCTATCACTTGACTTAAAATATTTTTGCCTTTCCTTATCTTTAAAGGAGTGCTCTTTGCGGTGCTGATGTTGCTACATGCCTTACTTCTTGCCTATCTCACACTGCGAATTTTTTCTAAGCTCTATACTAAACATTAAATCTGTTACGAAAAAAGAACTAAACAAAATGAACACAAAACGATCAGCTTTAAAAAAGGGACTCATAACTGGAAAAACCGAATGAAAAATGAATGTTAACAACAAATACTTCTTCACACCCAACCCAGTTCTGCGGAATCAGAATCAACGTTGAGTTTAAGCAAGCGAATGAGCCAATTGGAGTAAAGTGCCATGCAGATTTAAATTTTTCCCACTTGTGACGAATGCAGCTATCGATTTTTTTTTGCATGCTAGTTAACGTTCATGTCACTCAGCTGTTGGCTCTCACACTGGTCAATATAAATCTTCCTGCCTATTCGTGGCAGACAGCTATTGGCTCTCACTCTGGCCAGTACAAAATGGCCGCAAACTACATGAAAACTGCTGTAGAAGCATGAGAAAATCAATTATTTCCACTATCGATGGGAGTTGGGAAATGCAAAGTTGGTCTTGGCCTTCCCGCTAACTTGGAGCATGTGCATGTAAATTTTGGTGCAAATCTGCCGAAAATTGCGACCATGCATTTGTTACACACACACACACACACACACACACACACACACACATCCTGCCTTTTATAGATAAATTGGAAGTGGAATATCAATCTAATGTTGGAAAGAAAAAGAAAATATATTTAAAAATTGCTACTGCATAAACCTGATATTGTTTTCTCTGGCCATCATCTGATGAATGCTTTGGTGGAGGTGTGTTACTTTATAATAAATGTGGGTTCATGCAATGAAAAATATACAGTAAAATATGTCCAAATGTAATTTTAGATGATTTATGGGAAACTTGTTCAAATTTGTATTGGCCACAATGAAAGATCATGGTTAGTTGTTGGTAATGTTTTCCTCTTAATGAAGATTGGATAGAATTTTTATTTGGGATTAGAAATATGATGTAATTAATTTGTAGTTTTTTGAAACAGAATCATTGAATGGACAGTGGTATGCCAGGTTATATGAACATTGGAGAATATTATTTAATTATAGCTTGGGTACAAAAGTGTTGTAAGCCTAATGACATAAAACTATCTAAAATAATAATTATTCAAACAATTAATACTATAATAGTGACAATATTATCTTCAATTTTTATTCAGTGAAGCATTGCTAACCTTTATTAATTTTTAACTAAGTTTCTTTCATTTTAATTTTAGTTGCTTTCCATCACATACTAATTATGTCTTTTAGTAAACAGTGCAGAAATGAAAAATATTTACTAGTAAAAAAATTCTCAAGATTAAAAGAATAGAAATTCAAGTCTTGTTTAGAAGTTAGTCTTTATTTTGAATTTGTGCTATTTACTAATGATTGTAGAATGACAGCCTGAGTAGATGTAATGAAAAGCAACTAAAATTAAAATGAAAAAACTTGGTTAAAAATTAATAAAGGTTAGCAATGATTCATTGAATAAGAATTAAGATGAAAGGTAGAAAATTCCTTTAGGCAGTCTATTGACCAATCATTATAAAGAACATCTGCAAAATGTCTCTATTATAACAGGAAATATAAATGAAAATGTATACTTTCAAAGATGGTAGAAGTATTGATACAGAAAAAAAGCCCAGACTCCCTCCCCTACCAAAAATTGAAAAAATTCACATTGTAATGAAAAAAAATTAAAGAAGACAGATTGTTAAAAAAAAATTTAGCAGCATTATTTATAACTGGAGTTAGGTTTTAAAATCTTTATTTTTTATTTCTAATAAAAAGTTATTTTTTAAGATATGCAAAGTTCACAGTATTTCAAATTTTTTATTCTATCCTTCCTTAAAAAAGAACTCCAATTTTAATAATTTCATAAACTCTTTTGAAGTCATGAAAAGAAATTTACTCTCCAGTAGAAAACTTACAATTTCTTTTTAAATTACTTCATTCGTTGTATTTAAAAACCATATCTGCAGGAAATATTTCCCCTTATTCATATTGAGAATATTTGTCAATGTCTATAAATTGGACTCATTTTAACTGACAATCTTCTTGGTTTTATTGTTGTTATTCTTTCTAATGTAGAACAAAAAGATTTTGGGATATGTTTTTAAAGAAAATTCTGGCAATTTTAAGGTTATTCTCTTACAAACAGAAGATTTTATGTAAGCTACTAAAACTATTTTCTCTCCCCACTGTCAGTATTATAGAAACCCTACATTTAAAATGTTTAACCAAATATTACAGTTGCTATAAATGCATGCGCTGTTGTTTGCTTTGTAGCCACCAACTCGGTGTTTGAAGGATAGTTTTACCTTAAAAATATCTAAATATTTTAGTTACTGGATGCTGAATTAAAGACATCACTTGAATGCAGATATAATTGATTTCTTTCTCTCATCTAATTTGTTCATTTAAGATGCTTTGTTTTTACAAGAGTCACAGGAGTAAAAGTTTATTGAAAATTTAATTTGTAAATTTCTGAAATAAGATGTTATTGCTACTACTATACAAAATCAGTTTCCTTATCTTTAGTACAAAATTTCAGCCACTGTGCCTACCAAACTTATTTAGATATCATTTGGAAATCTTCCAGAAACCTTCCAATGAAATCCTTTAGTTGACCAACAGGTATGTGTTGTTTTCATTCCTTACCTGTCACATCCAATGACCTTCCTTGGACACCTGACTTTTAGGGAGCCAGCTCAGTAGAGAGGCAGTGATAGTTATAAAATTTAAAGTTGCCTTGGAAAGTTTTTTTTTTTTTTTTTGAAAACTGAAACAAATAGATTTCAGACATCATGTATTTTTTTTTCTGTTTGAAAACATTCTATGATTTCCATGTGTAATATGTCATATTTCCTTTTTTTCTTCATTTCTTTTGTAAAAAAAAATAGATTTCACATTTATTTCCTAAAACTAGTCAAATGTTTTTAACATATTTTTGTTCAATCTTTTTCTCTTACAATGGTATAAATTTTGATAAAATTTAATTTTATTAACATCTGAAAGTCTTTTTCAATACTGTTTCTTTGGATATGGTCACTCAGTAGGGATAGCACTAAACCAAGTGAAGATGAAACTGAAAAAAGTCGTTTTTTTGGTTAAACCACCCATCTCTAATTATTAACATGGCTTACTACATTTTTTAAAGTCAATTTTTCTATCACCATTTATTAAAAACCTAAACAAATGCAGTCCTGGTCAATATACATGAAAGTACTGAAAAGTTCTCAACTCCACTCCTTTTCTAAAAACTGACCAAATAACCAAACATTTTTTTTTTTTTAATTCTAGGAAACGCTTCTTGGTCAGGATGAAAACATTTCACCATCTATTTGTATAAATTTGTTTTGAAATCAGTGTGATCTATGACACGGGTGATTTTTTTTTTGTGTGTGTTCATACTCAACCATGTTGTCACCACAGTAATGTTTTTTTTTTTTTTTTAATTTCATTTTCTCACATAATTCTTTTGGATTTTTTTCTCTTTTTCATTTTGTGGTATATTACTACTCTATAACAATTGGGAAAATTAATGCAAGACTTGAACTTTTTTTTTTTTTTGTAAACTTTTGAATTACTTATCTGTCTGTCTGTATTTCTGAGATTGAGGTATTGTAACTATTTACACTGTTCGGAATGTTGTCCCAATCTTTATTGCTATATTTACAACATTTTGGCTGTTGTATGCTCCAGCCTTCAGCAGAGGGAACAAAAATTTGGAGTTGAGTTACTGAAACTAAGATATCCAAAAAGGTATGGTATGTGGAATTAGAACAATCTATCCCAGTGGACTAAATAAAGGGTTTTGGACAAAATTCCAACATGTATTACTTGAAGAAGACTGGAGTGTATAATGGCCGAAATGTGAATATAGAAATAATGATTAGAACAACAGTCTGATGTAAATAGTTTTGAATTACTATAATACACAATTTTGTGATTTCACAAAAATCAATAATGTAAGCAATTTTAACTTAAAATTACAATTTTCCAAATTCTACTCACTACTGCTGAAGGAACTCCTCCCTGATTAAACGTCTCCAGGAGTGTAGCTGTATTCACTATGCTTGGCTAATTGTGGGTTGGTGAGGCTCTTTAACCCATAGTTGGGGTGGATGGCCATTAACAATTTTCACATAAATACAAAAAAGTTTTAGCTATTTTTTAAAAATTATTTATTCAAAAACATAAACCAATTTGAAAATAAAGAAAATACAGAATTACAGGTTAAAAGTTAGAACAGCTTTTATAAATCAAATGTTGGTGTAAAAATTATATAAACAATTTTTTAATATTTACATATGCAGCATTGTATATTTGGATTTAGTTTTATGTAAACGATATCTTAAATATTTTAACATTTTTCTTGCCATTTAAAGAAAAGAAATTATATATATATATATATATATATACACTCACACTGCTAGTCATTGTCCAAAGTTTTATATTTGGAATGTATTGCACCTCTTAACATTACTTTGTAAAAGAAAAAAAAATAAATTGAAGTAAAATTATGTAATTAATAACAAATTAATGAAGATAACTTCCAAAACATACTTAAGATAATTTTCTGTAAACCATGTGCATTAATCTTGCAATATTAATAAAATCAACTACTATGCATTCTTTAATCAAATACTGATAATCTACAAGCATGTTTTCCAGATGTATTTTCATCCATTATCTTACAACTGTCTAAAAAACAATTTTTTTTAAATATGAAAATTATATTTCTTTTTAGGAATGTTTCGGATTGTAATTTTAAAAAAAAGGGAAGGATCTAACAAGAAACTTTGAAAATATACAAAATACAGAAGGATGGAATCAATTTAAAAAAAACTTTTAGTGTCTTTACATTGTTTCAATGAGACATTTGTTTCCAAAATGTCATAAGAAAGCAAATTATTCACATAAAAAAGCTGTTGATAATTTCAACAAAATATTTTTATCAAGTAATATTGATAAATGTCTCAGGATGAGAATTTTTGTGCATTTGTATATAAAATGCATTATTGATTTAACATAAATAAGAACATCTGTCAAATTATATGACCAGAACAGATGAGAAAATGCCCTAATTCTTTAAAATAAAATATGTATACTTGAGAGAAACAAGATTTGTATTGCTTTGTATATGAACATCAGTAAGCCAAATTTGATAATGTAAACTTAATTCTGTGTTTTTTTTTTAATAGATTTTAAATTTAAAAAGATATGTCAATTTTTTTCTTTTATAGATTTTGACTGCTAAGCTTTTTGTAATCTTTGCATTAAAATATTGTCAAAGATATAATTTAAAATGAGCATGTTTTATTTGCTACAGTAATATTTAATTCACTGATTGAAGCAGTCATAAAATTATTTTAAATTTATTTATCACTAAGCCTTTAAGATATTAAAAAATAAAACTGGAAGCTTCGTGAGAACTACACTGTTTCAATAACCTAATATTGTTAAACATTTTATTTGAGCTGTATGTGGATTTCATCATTTTCTTGGATACGGAAGCTATGGAGAGACCTATTTGATGCATCCATAATTGCTAGAACGGCAGGCTCAGGACTCTTTGTAAAGTGAAGAAGGCGAAATTTGGATGGTGGATGTCCAACAAAATCTTTTAGTAATACTTTTAACTCCTTAACTGTTTTTTTTCCATCAAGTATCATTTCCTGTGACTTATCTAAAAATACCATGATGACTTTGAGGCCATCATCACAAAGATTCAAATCTAGCAAAGGCTTTAGATCTCCATGCAGAAGTCGCAATTCATTATACCTGTAGAGAAAATTAAACAAACAGTTAAACATTACTTTTTGTCGGTACAAAAAGTGTTTGCATATTAATGCAACAAGAATATATTTAGTGACTCAACAATGAATTTTTAAAAATATTCTTATGAAAATAAAGAAAAGCAAAATTGAAAATAATGCATTAAATATGGCAAGTAAGCTTTTTAAAATATCATTTATTTACAATGATGCTAAATAATCCACAATTATAGAATGATTAATGTTGCACCTGGTTTTTTTCTTTTGTTTAAATTAGAAAAAGGGAAAATAATATTTCCATGTTGATAGTTTAATCAGGAATAAGCTGATATTTTAAAACTAAAGCAGGAAGGATTCTTTATGAAGAAATGCAATTATTTATCAAAAACACTGACAAGCCAAAATATAACCAGCAAAGTGTAGCAAGAATGACAGCTACCATCTCATAACAACTGCATATCAACGTCAAAGGCATATAAGCAAGTAAACTATTTAAGTAATATTTAAGTGACTTAGATAAAGGCCAAATTGTTATGGCCAGAAGACTTGATCAGAGAATTTCCAAAATGGCACAGCCTGTGGTTTATCTGCATTCAAGCAGTGGTCTAAGGAGAGAAAAAAAAAAATCAACAAATATTGACATGAAAATTTTCCTGTCAAGTATGAGCCAACAGAAGGCCTAATGTGACATAAACTGCTGATCGCTTTAACCAAAATAAAGAAAGGTATGCATCATAGCACGTTAATCTTTGTTGTGATTGGAACTGCTTGGTCATGCTTGTGTATATGACTGCTTGTAAGACTACAAATGCTAAGTAATGACTATTGTTTAAAGTGTCTTCAATGGGCATGTAAGATTTGGAACTGGACCTTATATCAATGGAAAAAGGTCACCTATTCTAATGAATCTTATTTTCTCTTGAATAAAGTAGACAGCAGGTTACATGTGTGCATCATTATCTTGAACAAGAAATAGCCGTAGAATATAATGCAGGAAAACAACAAACCAGTATGAGCAGTTTGATGCTTGATTAAGATCTATTTTGTAGGCATGTAAAAGACTAACACATTATTAGGTAGATGATTTGGCTTAGTGTAATATATTATACTGACAAATTTATAATAAAGAAGAGCAGGTTTGAGGGAAAAGATGAGAGAAGATTGTTCCCTAAGCATCCTACAGTGGCAAGGAAGCTAAGTATAATGTTATTTTTTATAGTAATTTACAAATGTCAAATTTACATGTTATTCTCAATATATTAAAAACTTAATATTTTATTAGCATTTTCTTCTATTTTTAAATAAAAAATTAACTACTCTATTGGAGTTTTAATTTCCTCTATTTTAGTTTTAAAAGTTATGCATAAACAATTAAAAAAACTAAGACAAGTAATCTTAATAATTTGTTTTCATCTCAAGTTGCATGTTCTTCAATTTTTTTTCTAAGTAATTAATACAAATTTCTCTCAGGTTATTGTTTCTTAATAAGACTAGATTTAATGCTTATTTTAATGTGAAAATTCATCCTTGTAGCCAGAAAATTAGTAAGTTAAACACGAGATGAAAAAAACATCACTTTAGAGATTTACAGAAACCAATATATCTAATATGAACATTTCAAGATAAAATCTGTGAAAATAATTTAATTATGAACTGAATCCCCTTACTACACATTTGAATCATATAAAATAACCAAAAAAGTCCTTCCCATTTTTTGGGAAACCATTTTAGTAGGAAATCCTTTGTAAATGAGGCAGACTTGCGGCAGGAATTCACGGTTTTCTTTGTGTCCAAGACACCTGATTTTTACTGCAAAAGGTTCTGGATACCAATGGGAATTAGTTTGAGGACTAATGGTATGTCACATTTGCTGTATACCTTTTTTTTCTAAAAAATTAATAAATTGGCAAAGACATTTTTGGTTACCTTGTACTTAAGAAAAAAAAAAGGAAATATTTGAAAGTTTATATTTGTTACTATTCTGACATGTGCCATATGCTCTAAACAAAAAGCAGATTTTACAAGTGAAACATGCCTTTTATAAACAGCATAAACTGATGTATCTGATCATAGGAAGTCAATCAACAAAATAAAATGATTTTCAAACTAGTTTTCATTTACATTCAATGATATATTTTGTCATAGAAGTCTCTAACACTGTTCATTTAATAAGTGGAATAACTGATTATTGCTATAACTCAAATACTGGCTTCTGCATTAATAAAATTAATAACTATTAGAAATATTAATCAATCAAATAAAAAAAAAATTGAAGAAAGAATTTTTTAAACATGTAAATTGACCACCAGTTGTACAACATAAAAGTATATTATAGGAGTGTTTTAACTAATATTGTCCAATGTGTCTATGACCAGAGGCTAGAAGAGAATATTTTATACTGAGTTTAAAATATTAAGTAATTATATCTAAATTTACTGTGAGAAAAAGTTGATACAGTATTATTTAACTAGGATCTTGTATTATAGAAACTAAATCTTGTTTATTATTCCATATATATATTTTTTTATTATCCAGGTTAAATGGGGTTTACTCTTTGCACTGACAAAATTTCACTTCCAAGACCTTTGTGTTTACTATTCAATAGATAAAACATATGCAGAGATTGGGTATCTGGGATAAAGGCTGTCTATATTGCCAAACTGCAAAGCACGCAATAAACAAAAAGCATAACAATATGCAAAAAGAAAAACATTCAAATTAAGCTCAAATAAATAAAGTAAATTTAGGTACTAGCTAAGTACTTTCCATCAGTTATATATGCAATGAAAATTGTGTTAAAATATTTTAAATTAGATGAATTATTTTAGTTCTCTATATAAAATGACAATAATTTGTTTGTATTTTATTATTGACTATTTCATTGCTTTAAAAACAATATGTCCATAAATATAAAAATTATCAATTTTTAAGACTATAATCCAGAATGACTGACAGTACCTGTAAGGCTTGTTTTCTGCATCTTGATAATAACGTAAAAAGAACCTTTCAGCATCTTCTCTTTCTTTGTCAGTAACTTCTCTGCCATTCAGTATTTGTATATTTGGCAGCCTTGCAATCAAAAAGGCTGTACACTCTTTTGGGATATAATCCTGTTAAAAAATGACAGCATTATACTTATGAAAATTAATGAAATCCCAGTTAGCTAAAAGAATTGTCATCATTATGTACGCAAATGAATTTAAGAAAGCATTTGAATTCTCTTGAATAATATTCCTGAAATCCAGATCCAAAAAAAATGTTAAATTGTTTGAAATGCTCATTACTATTATAATAATAATTGTTTTATACAAATTTAACATAAGAGTGCTACTTGATATGAATTCATTTAAATTTTTGCAATGATTTCTTGCTAATTTTTCAGTTAAATGATTTTGTGTTCCCTTTTACTGAATCAGCTAATAAATTATGACAATAGACAGTCATAGAACTCAAGCTTTCTACATATTTTAGGCTGACCTTTTTTAAGCTGTCACCATTAAAATTTCAACTGATTGTAATTTGAGTACAATTAGATAAAGCATGTTTCTAATATAAAAAGTTATCCATTATGTATTGTATATAAACATTAAAATTTAAGCCAAGAATTTGAAAAACAATTTTAGAAAAAAATTTTTCTGAACTTTTCTCCAAATTCATAACTTTGTGAATTACTTTTACACAACAGTTATGAACCATTCAAGTTGAAGATATTTGGGCAGAAATTATTTCACTGCAATTTTACCCAACAGATATTTATACTTCAATGTAATCTCCTTCCTAGTCAGTTCATTTAACACGACACTTATATAGATAAAAATTAGATGGTGAAAATTTCAGATCAAAATTCAGTACATAACTGTGTCATTTTATTGATTTATTGATATTATTATTATTATACATTTTTATATACAAGATGCATTCTTTTTACAATAAAAATTCTTATATATCAGCCTGTATTTAATAGCTTCTTTCAATAGGTGACATGGCAAATATGAATCTTGTCAACATCAAATTTTGAAAACCAGAATTACTTGGAATAAAAAAATCTGTTTTAGAACAGAAAGAATCGGATATCACTTCACTATCTTATCAAGTATTTATAATTTACAATGCATTTTTGTTAATACTAAGAAACATTTTTGGATCTAAAATTTAAAATAATTTAAAGAAATGCAGAAAAAAATTAAAATCTGATAGTTCTTGTAGCTAATTGCAACCATATAACATAGTACAAGAATATTTTGTTTTTAAATAAATATTGCAAGAATATTTTTATTTTTCCCTGTCAAATCATGAATTCTTAATTCAAAGGCTACTTTATCAATGTCACCAAAAAATGACAGCATATTTGACTAACATTACAACTGTATTGTACTTTTAAGATATGAAAAATTTTATTTTACTCTGCATTTAATTGTCTTCTTGAGTATTAAACTTAAGGTTAAGATAATAATTGATCTTATCTTGATCCCTTGCATATAAATGAAACTAATTTTTAATATATCCAAATATTTAAACATTTTACTTCAGAATTGTATTTATCTATAGAGCCAATGACAATTTAAGAGTATCTTTAAGTTATTTTAGTATAAACATATGGCATGGCACTAAGATAGTCAACTTTTAATTTCAAAATAAAAAAAAAACAAAACAATATCCTTATACATAGAAATGAGTGAATTACTTGTGTGTGCATGCACATTATATATATCACTCTTCAGTTATGAATTGAGTGCTCTTGACTACCGATTTAGTGTTTGTATACATCATGTATATATGTTAAAAGATTCCCTTTCTCTGCTGTGTGCTGATAACTTAGGGGTAGAGTCTCTGACTGATGCCAAATTGGTCAAGTTTTGATCCTGGCTTGAAGCAATTGAATGTCTAGCCACACTGATGGGCTTTGATACAGTGAAACAGGCTTGTATGTGGATATATATAGATATACATATATATATATAGAGAGAGAGATATGGACAATACATTTTATATATGTGGATTATTAATTAAAATTTTTATCATAAATTAAGAATACATGGCCTCTTAAGTGCGTGAACAAATGCAAATTTCTAATCAGCCATTGATGTAGCAGTAATTTAATGAGCATAGTCATTGTGAGCTGCAGAATTTAATGGGAAAGAAAAGTGATTTAAGTGGCTTTGAATGCAGCAATGGTCATTTGTAATAGATGGGTGAATCTGAGTACTCCAAAAACAGTTATTCTATTAGGATTTTCACACAACTATCTCTAGTGTTTTATAGAGAGTGGTCAGAAAATCAAAAAATTCCAGTGATTGGCAATTCTCTGGACAGAAATCCTTTGATGAAAGCGGTCAGAGGAAACTGGTTTGAGTTGAAACCACTCTTTACATTGATGGTATACAGAAAAACATCTCTGATTGTACAAGACATCAAACCTTGAAACAAATAGGCTACAGCAGTAGAAGACTATACTGACTGCTAATCCTATCAGATAAGAACAAGAAATGAGGCTAAAGATCATAAAAATTGGACAATGATATGGAAGTAATTTAATTATATATATGTGAATAGAAGATTGGAAAAACACATGATGAATCTTTATTTCTGCTGAGACATTCAGATGGTAAGGTCAGAATTTAGCATAAACAACATGAAAAAATTCTTGTTGTGTATCAATGGTTCAGGCTGGTGGAGATAGTGTAATGGTATGAAAAATATTTTCTTGGCATACATTGTGACTCTAGGTACAAATAAAATATTGTTTAAATGCTGCAGTCTACTTAGGTATTATGGTTGACTACATCGCTTAATTTATGACTAAAGTGCATCACATCCTCTAGTGGCCACTTCCAGCAGGACAATGTATTGTATCACTAATCAAAAATAGTGGCAGATTGGTTCATCAAACTCAGCAATGGGTTTTCTGTGTTAAGGTAGTCTCAACACTCACTGGATCTCAATCTTATAGACAACTTTCAGGACGTGGTGGAAAGTGTGATTCAAATTCTGAATGTGCAACCAACCAATCTAGAAGAATTGTAGAATTCCATATTTACAGCAGGGATCCAAATTTTGAAAGAATGCTTCCAGAACATTCATGCTAAGAAGAACTGAGGCAGTTTTAAAGTACTAGAAGAGTATACCAAATAAAATTACCTATATGCATGTGTATAATTAATGCTAATAGATACAATAATACTAGTTGAAAGAAAAAGGTTATAACAAAGTAAATGTTAATGAAAAATTTGTTTATAAATATAAACAGTAACTTACCTTTAATATCTTAGAACCATTAAGTCTAACTTGCTTAAGTTTAGGAAAGTAACATAATTTTTCCACTTCTTCCCAATCGTTTAAGCAATTGTTGCTTATGGAGAGTGCTAAAAGTTCAGGAAAAGCAGACACACACTGTGATTGTTCAGGAAGTGAATTGAATGCTGTATCTGACATCACCAGTTTTTCAAGTTTAGGAAAACAGTAACCAAGTTGCAATAATTTATTCCAGTCTGTGATTTGATTATAATTGAAATGAAGTCGCAATAATTCCCCATAAGAAAACTCTGCAGGTAAATCAACTTCTTTAAAACCAATCAGACTCAAATGAAGTTCTTGAATTCTTAAAAAATAAATAAATAAATAAATATCAATAAAACAATTTGTAGTGAAAATGACTAATTAACATAGCTAAGGCACAGATACTATATAAATGACCAAGCAGTAAGGGTAGAGCAGCTCTTGATATGTAAGATAAACAAATACTGTTGGACTGACAAAATATGAAGGAAATTCAACACAATTATTACTATAATTGGATGTTTTGGGGTTATTTAATATTAAGATATTAGAAGATATAAATATGCTTATATTTAGTGCCTGATAAAAATATTATTTTTCTTTTCTAAATAGAATAAATATTAAACTTTACATTAAATTAAAAAAGATTATATTTTAACTTACTTGGGACAAATAAGCAATAGCTGATGAAGGGCAGACCACGTTATTTGAGTGTCATTTAAGACTAGAAAATTCAGGTTAGGAAAACTATAATTGGAGACTGGAAGTAATGGAACTTGTTTCACTTGTAAATCATCTATTGTTTCCTGTTTCTCTGAGGAACTGGAACTGAGTTCATCCTGGTTGGGAAACATCAAATCATTTTGCAGTGGATTGGATTTTAGGTTCAAAAACTCCAGTTTTGGTGTAGCTGTCATAATATGGATTATCTGTTAATAAAGAGATCATTATATAGTAATGAGTAAAATATTATCTATAGCATTTTAAATACAAATAATAACACAGATCTTTAACACCTAAAAAAACATGTCATGTTCAAAGGTGAGTAAATTTTTGTAAACAAAGTACTGAATATTAAAAAAAAGAGCAACAATAGCTAAATCTTGCCCTGATGAACAGTGTAAACCTTGATTGGAAAGTGATTTGATTTTTTATGGCTTATTGGTTTTGTGGATTATTTAAAGCTGATCCTTATTTTTAAGATTGGAAAAAGAACTTATTAAATTATTTATCTACTATTAGCATATGTAAATCAACAAGGTTTATTGTTTATCAAATGAATGTATAAACATCATACTGTCAAGATATTATACCACTTGTTTGTGTCACCTTGAACAAATATTAACCATACTGATACATGATTAATGGAAAATTATACTTATCAATTATTTCCTGATAGACCTAATGATGAATTGTCAACTTACAGAAAAAATTATGTTAATAATACATTACTGTTAATTTCTGTCAAATTTTTGCAGCTATCCTGATAAGAATTCAATATTCCCTTCTATTTGGAAGTTGAAATCAATCGATACAATTTATTTTTAAAGGTATCATTTTAATTAGGAAGTTTGTTGATGAAATCTTTAAGAATCTATCACTAATAAAACTATTAATACTAAATTTTCCTATTTTGGAAAAAAAAAAAGAAAATTCTGTTTTTTACCTCATGATTCTTTTTCACACACACAAACAAAAAAAAAAGTCAAAGCAATGAAATATTCCTAAGACATGAAATTCAGTGTCTGTCTTTTTTCTTTAGGTGTCAAATCATTGTGTGGGAAATGGTAGAATTGGTAGAAATTTACAATCAGACTTTCAGTCAATTTTACACTTGGGAATTTTCAAATAATTTCTGTAGTATTTCTTTGGTAAATGATTGATCTTTTAATATCAAATCACTGACAGAATAACATAAACATTCACTCCATAAACATTGAAATATGATTTTCTAAAATCAAAATATTGATATCCTATCCAAGGATGCTACTAGTTTAAAAGCTACATGGTCTATTTAAACAATTTCTGATGCTTCTTAGAAATAAACAGTTGTAGTGAACTTGCAATCACAAGAAATAAAAAAAAAAATCTAATTCCCATGATTCCATAAGAAAAAGGAAACCACCCTACTGGTGGGAAATTTAGAGACTTTATCTTTTTCATTGGAACCTTACAATGTGAACACGTGGAATTTGAGCACCTCCAGGAATGAAGACCACAGATAAGTTTTACACAAATATCACTTTCTCATGTTTAATATTATCTTTTAATGATAGACTTATCACTTGCAAATTCATTCACCAAGACTAACACAAAAATCAGAAACATTTACTAACAATCTCATTATAAGAATTTTCATACATCTACTGAACTAGTACAACCAAATCCTTCTGGTAATAAATCCTTCTCTCTCTATATATATTATATATATATATATATATATATATACACGTCTCACTTCATTGTTATGATGTATATATGTATATTTTACTAAGCAAAAACTGTTTTTTTTGGTTAGTAAAATATACATATATTATCATAACACTGTATACAGAAAATGATAATGTGATATAAGAGCAACATGAATCAATAGGTCTAAAAGTACTTTATTAATAATTCAAAAGTAGATGTCATTAATGTAATTATAATATACAAAAATATAGTTTATAGTATAATGCCTTAATAAACATAGCAGTAGCAATCCTTAATAAACCCAGTATCAGCAGCAGCTCTGAGGTATAAACACAAGAAAAACCTTAAGTAGCTATCTCTTCTGGGTTTTCCTCTTTCGGAATGTGACATGAACTTTTCACACTGAAGCCAAAAGGGCTGCAGGTGCTTCACACTAAAACACACCAACACAGTAAGTCACACTCAAATCTATTAACATTTTGTTGTGTATGCAATTTACTTCTAGGAAAAGAAACTCTTGTCTTAAACTTTCCTTTTGTTAATTTTGTTTAATAAATGTTATCTTGCATTGCAAATCAATTGATCTGTTATTTTGTGCATGTATCCTTTTTCACCACCATTCATGTATTCTAAAATATTCTTGTAAGAAACCTTACATATAATTATTGAAGTAGCCAACACACTAAAATAGACATATTAGGAAGTTTTGAAAAAATTAACCAAAAATCTAAAAGTTATTTTTTATTTTTTCAAAAAGAAAATAATACTGTTATCAATAATGTTATAGTTAATCTGCTAAGTTTAAAGTAAAATAAAACACTAGGTTATAATATTCAAAAGGGAGAAACATGAAAATCTACAAATGAGTGTATATTTATTTTCTTTGATATCAAATAAGAATAGTAGATAAATATTTACCTCTTTTAGTGATGTAAGTTGGTTAGATGATAATGAAAGTTCATTTATATGTGAACACAATTCACACATTTCCACAAAATCCCCAGCACTAGCAATACACAAAGAATCAAGATTCACTGAACATGGTATATGAAGAGAATCTGGAAAAGAATAAATATACAGATGTGCTGACAGCAATATCTTGAAATTATTCATATTAATGACAAATCTTAAAAGACAAGTGTTGATGTAAATTGATCAAGTAGAGTTTGAATGATCAATTTGTGTAAAGTCAATGGACCCTTAAAATAGTTACAAAATTTTCAAAGTAGGATGATGAATTAATATTTTTAATACTGACTATATAAAATGATAAATAACTAGGAAACATTGTTTGATCCAGTTTCATTTTTCAGCAACTTTTCCTATAGGAATCAGGAATTTAAATATATTTAGCACAAGCAACCATCCTAGCACATCATTAATCTTTTAACATTATAGGTGTATATAAATTTTCTAAATTGTTAGTAACAATATTTTGATTTCATTTACATTTTATTTTCATTTGTAATAAATATTTAGTAATGTAATTTGAAATTTGTTTGTATATCAAATGCATAAATAAACATTGAAAAAAATACATTTTTGCTAAAATGTCTTCAGATCAGTAAATGAAGTTCAAAATATCAATTATATCAAAATTTTAATTTCTCTCTATATTCTCTGAATCTTAAAAAATAAAGTCATTATCCTATTTGCCTTAGAATATAATTTTCATCTATACTGAATATATAGAGTAGGCCAAAGTCAAATGGGTTTGAAATTTTAATTGATTTTTTTTTAATTAATTTTTTGTATATTTCTTTACAGATTTTTTTAAAGAAGACTTTGGAAATTAACCATAGAAAAAATTAATGACTGAACAGCAAACAAATTGTGAAATTTTATTATCAAAAGTAAGGCTCAATAATTCTGAACCAATGAGCATATCATCACCATTTACAGTACAAGAGATATTTTTTCTTTCAAAATATTTATTATTTGAACATGGTATCTATAAACAAAACCAAAATGTTTTGTTTTTTTGCTATCCTCTGCCAGCCACAATGATGGAGAAAGCATTACCTCAAACCATTGCCAGTGAGACACGCTGCAAGAGCCACTCTGTTTTGTGAGGTTTGTCCCTTAAACAAGACGCCATCTCACCAATCCTCCAAAGGAATGTCATCAAATAAGAGGCAATAGCCCCAGAAGTCTCCACTGCCACAGGAGTAAAAAAAATCTGTCCACAAGAGAGGAATATTTAACTATTTTTTTATCTCTGTATCTCAAGCGACAGACCCCAGCTTAACTGTGGACCTAATCAAATTACCAGTCGAAAATGTATCAGTATAGGTTGCATCCTAAATTAACGACTTCTCCATTTTAGTATCTGTCTATATTTATATAGGTGTTAGTTAGATCCAGTGACAGTGTGAGTTCAATACCTGGTTAAGGCAGTGGAGAACTTGGAGAGGTGAATTAGCAGGAGATAACTGATAAATGACATCCATTAGACATGGCACTAGAACAGTCTACCCCAGCGAGCAAAAATATGGCAACAAAGATGAGGATAATAGTCCGAATAATGTAAATAGTGTTCCTCATTTTAAAAGGGAAAATGGTAATGCTATCTGGCTGCTTTCCATCACCACGATCAAGGCCTACGGGTTCAATTTGGGAAGGGAACCCAGCTGCATCTAGACCTCTTCTGATGATGATGTTTATTGCTGCATGCCTTGGAAAGCAGCCTGCACTACAATGACAGCAGAGAGGATGCAAAACAAACTCATCAATGGAAGCTCCACATCTGCATCTGTGATTTTCACATAATTTGAGCCCAAGATAGATCACAATTCCAACCTGAGTGCACTCATCATCTGGAAGGTTATCGGTAGATGAAGAGGGCACTACATTGAGTCAGGTGCCACTACTCAGTTGTGAAGCAGATAGTAGGCAGGTGAGGCAGTGCTGATCCAGAGAGACTCTCAAATTAGTAAAATTGGCCTCACATTTTATTTTATCCCAGCTTTTCTGTTTTGATGTGTCTAGTGGGATAGAAAGTAATTCTTGGGCCCAGATGCTGCAAGCTTGTTACAAATAACTACCCGAAAAACATTGAGCCGATCCACCGAGTATCTCATCTTCACAACTGGAAGAAAGTGAAGATATGATGGAAGGGCCAAGTCTGCCCCTGATTGAAGGCCCAGGCCTCTGAAACTCAAAGGGAGCTTCACCTACCTCCAGCCTGTGTTGTCAAAATTAATGTTGCAAATTAACTCTGCGTATCTCTTAATTGTGATATGATTTAATTGTGCAAGAGATTCTAATTGGTCATCATAGATTTTAATTAGTCATCATGAAGAAAAGGGTTTAGTAAGCAACCTTCCCAGCAGACCTCACTCAGATAGCAACAAAGCTATAGTTGAGCATGTAAGGGTGAGTGTTGCAGAAAACCCAAGCACATCAACTCAAAGTCAGTTTGGACAGGTTGGTGTTTCTTGGACATCACTCTGGTGTATTCTGAAAATCTTGATCCTGTTTCTGTATAAAATGCAGTTCATGCAACAGTTGAGGTCCCCATATTATGCCTACAGATTGCAATATTTCAACAATTACCAATACTGAATACACCAACTGATAATGTCAGATGGAGCACATTTTCATTTGAATGATTTCATTAACAAACAAAACTGCTGGATTTAGGTAGGGTATGGAAAATCCTACAGCAATTCACCAAAGTTTATGATATGGTGTGGTGTAATGTAGTGTGATATTGAAGGAGGAAGTGATTAGATATACTTTCCAAGTCCATGTTGAGAACTGTCAATATTACAGGAGATAAAGATCAGTGTATGATCCAAACTTTCTTTCTCCCAGCTGTTCAAAATAAACATATGTGATTCTAAATGGACAGGGCAACAGCTCACACACCAAGGGCCCAGGAAAATTTTTGATGGGAGAATAATTTTCTGTTGTTATATCATAATCTGGTCATTGTGTCCTCTAGATCTGACAACTGATTTCTTCCTATGGTATTATCAGAGCACTAGAGCTTGAAGTACTAAGAGTTGTTAAAACACCTTAGAAAGGACATGTTTGTGTAAAACAAAAAATGGAAGCCATTTATAAGATGTGTCTTTTCAAATTTAGCATACATTGATTTCTATATATACTGTTTATGACATAATATTGTAAATTTAAAACAAAAAATGATATTAAATATTAAAAACCCTTTTGCAGCTTTTGACCCACCCTGTATAAAACAAAAATACTGATTTCTGGAAATATTTCTAGACAAATTTAGTGATTTCATAGTGATATTCCAAAAGTGTAAAGCAGTAATATAGTTAAAAACTGATATAAAAACCTTTTAAAATATAAAAACTATATTTTTGAAATTCAAAATATTTTAAATTATGTGTAGTAATTTGAAAAGCAATGTTTTTCTCCTTAGGTATGCTTTTCAGCTCTTTAAGAAATATTTGTGAATTGTTAGGTTGACAGTTTCAAGTATCAAGTACTGGTGATTCTAAGTATAAATTTCTTTCTCACCTTTTTCTCTATTCTTGGTATATTTTGATTATTTTGTTCCAGAAAGAAAATATATTCTACTTTGTTTTGGAAGATTGTAAAAGACTTTTTTTTTTTTTTTTAGATGGAAGCTATAAATACAAAGTATTATTATAAAAAAGAATCTTTTATCTATCAATTTTTCTTTAAGTCCTTAAATATTACATTTTAATTTCTTTTATCATTTTTAAAAGAGTTTTTATCTTTAATAATAGACCCAGCAACATCTTTTCATTTATTACTCAAATTGATATTATAAGACAGGTGGAATGCAAGTCTTGAGAGTGATGAACGAAATATCACAAAAATATTTTGGACGTGTTAGCAGAGAAACAAAGTTGTACAATTGTAAGAAATGATTTAAAGATATTTACTGAGTTTGGTCTTAGCAATTTTTTTTTAATCAAGTTCACCTCATGCAAGGCAATAAAGTCACTGAAATACAAGGGGTTACTGGGTGTGGATGAGTTAGAAACAGAAATATTGCTTAGGAGCAAGAACAAAAGTAGAGTAATCAGGTGGACAGTAGATAGCGATTGACATTGCATTTAAATTTTTGCAGATTAAAGTTGGCTGGAAAACATGGAGCCAGAAGGGAGTTTCACAAGTGCAGGAAAAGAAACTGTTATTATAGAATTTACAGTTACATCTAGCCAACTCAACTGTAAATTGGTGAGACCTCATCTTGCCAATTCAGTACTACACTTAAATTCATAAAGTCTAGGCATCACAGTGAAGAGCTCACCATGAAAATATTTATAGAAAAGGCAAAGGGAGGCAACCTTAGGGCCTTAGGAAAGTGAATGAAGCCGAGATGCCAGATCAGGGCCAATAATATTTCTGATCTTTTTTTGAATTTTATCAAGGAGCACCAGACTTTATGTGGCAGCAATATTCTAAGTATGGCACAAGGCTACAATAGTGAAGTACTACATGAGAATTTTGAACAAGTTCGCATTATTTTGGTTTTGTTAAGTTTAGTAAATTGATTGATTTATAAATGAAAAGCTAATACTCAAAGATAAATTGAACTTGATTTGTAATGATGAGGATTTCAGTCAAGATATTTTGGTGAGACATATTTTACTATTTGTTATGATGTTAATTTGGGGTTAATAAAGACAAACGCCAAATAACATGTAACAATAAAATGGGGTTTATTCGGTTGGTAAGTTGGTACAGATATCGCCTGAGTAGTCTATAACTAACTCAGCTCAGAACTTCTTCGACGCTGTCTTTTTACATGCCACTATCTAACGTGCTTGTTTGTAGGCGAGTTCATCTTCAAGAGGGGTGGTAGGTTCCTACACAACACCTCCCCCTTGAGATTAATTCCGGAGGAATTAATATTTTTTTCTTTTGGGATCTGGACTTAAACGTTCCACCCTCGTTCTTTTTCTTTTGCTTGTCCTTCTTTGAACAACTGTTTCAGGCAATGGTGGAGTCAGTATATCAAATAAATCATATAATACCTCCATTGGTTCTTCCTTTTCTTCACTTATTTTTTCGATGATTCTTTTCCTTAATTGGTTCAAATGTCTTTTGTGCG